CAGAGAGTGTTATTGTGCAGAGCGGATGTTGATCATCTGAGAGAACAATCACACTTACAGCCCGCACTAGTGTCTAGGGCACACAGAACAACAGCTCGACTACACACTAGTGTCTAGGGCACACAGAACAACAGCTCGACTACACACTAGTGTTTAGGGCACACAGAACAACAGCTCGACTACACACTAGTGTCTAGGGCACACAGAACAACAGCTCGACTACACACTAGTGTCTAGGGCACACAGAACAACAGCTCGACTACACACTAGTGTCTAGGGCACACAGAACAACAGCTCGACTACACACTAGTGTTTAGGGGACATACAACAACAGCTCGACTACACACTAGTGTTTAGGGCACACAGAACAACAGCTCGACTACACACTAGTGTTTAGGGCACACAGAACAACAGCTCGACTACACACTAGTGTTTAGGGCACACAGAACAACAGCTCGACTACACACTAGTGTCTAGGGCACACAGAACAACAGCTCGACTACACACTAGTGTCTAGGGCACACAGAACAACAGCTCGACTACACACTAGTGTTTAGGGCACACAGAACAACAGCTCGACTACACACTAGTGTTTAGGGGACACACAACAACAGCTCGACTACACACTAGTGTTTAGGGCACACAGAACAACAGCTCGACTACACACTAGTGTTTAGGGGACACACAACAACAGCTCGACTACACACTAGTGTTTAGGGCACACAGAACAACAGCTCGACTACACACTAGTGTTTAGGGGACACACAACAACAGCTCGACTACACACTAGTGTTTAGGGGACACACAACAACAGCTCGACTACACACTAGTGTTTAGGGCACACAGAACAACAGCTCGACTACACACTAGTGTTTAGGGGACACAGAACAACAGCTCGACTACACACTAGTGTCTAGGGCACACAGAACAACAGCTCGACTACACACTAGTGTTTAGGGCACACAGAACAACAGCTCGACTACACACTAGTGTTTAGGGGACATACAACAACAGCTCGACTACACACTAGTGTTTAGGGGACACACAACAACAGCTCGACTACACACTAGTGTTTAGGGGACACACAACATCAGCTTGTCCACTCTACTGGAATATTTAAAAACATTTTGTCCATCTGTGTGTGTGTGTGTGTGTGTGTGTGTGTGTGTGTGTGTGTGTGTGTGTGTGTGTGTGTGTGCGCATCAGTTCCAGCTGCGGTCAGAGACGTGTCGGTCAGCAATAACGGCCGTATGGATTTCCTGAGTGTGTCCTGGCGAGCGGCTGAGGGAGATGTGGACAGTTACTGGGTGAGTCTGCGGGATCGGGAGCGCACCGTACACACTCTCACCGTCTCCAAGGTCAGCACAGAGTGTGTGTTCAAGTCTTTGGTATCGGGGCGTCTCTACAACATCTCCATCACCTCCCGCAGTGGAGAATTTGAGAACCACACGGCGGTTCAGGAGCGCACGCGTAAGAACATCTCTGTGTTTCTGCAGCTCTGAGTCTGTGGGTTTCCTTCTGATTATCCTGTGCTCTTCTAGAACCATCCCCGGTGCTGAACCCCACCGCCACACACATGGCCGAAGAACAGCTCCTGAAGGTGTACTGGCGCCATGCGGAAGGAGACTTTGACTACTATCATGTCTCCATAAAGCACAATAACATCTTCCACCAGAACCGGACGGTCCCCAAGAGCCAGAATGAGTATGTGTTCAGTGGGCTGGTGCCGGGCCGGCTCTACATGGTGACCGTCAGCACATGGAGTGGAAAATATGAGTCCAGTGTCTCGACTCACGGAAGCACCTGTAAGTTCTGAAGCTCCGTGGTGTACGGGCTGTTTACAGTAATGCAGGCTTCACAACAAACAGAATCATTCACACTAGTAAAACACACACCAAGTCAGTGTAAACGCAGGACTCGAGGTCAGTTATCGTGGTGTAAATGTGCAATACCTTCCATCTGGTCTGAGCGATGTGTTGTTCTTCAGTCTGCTGTGGGTCTGTGCTGTATTTGATGATGTTCTCCTTCTCAGTGCCCGCAAGAGTGCAGAACCTGTCTCTAGCAGACAGCGGCACTGAGGATCTGCTGGTCACCTGGGCTTCTGCTCCTGGAGATGTGGATCATTATGAAGTCCAGCTGCTGTTTAATGACATGAAGGTGTTTCCGCCCATCACTCTGACCAGCAGCACCACGCAGTACCTGCTGTCCTCACTCACTCCTGGCCGACTCTACAAGATCCTGGTGTCCACCTTCAGCGGGCCCAA